GAGATCAACGTGTTTTTAGTTCTAAAATAATAGCTGATGAAGAAACAATAAACAGTGTTGCTTAGAAAGCAGTAACGATAGTCAATATCAAAAGTTACAAGATTGAAATATGAACTAACGCTTTTTTCGTGGTGGGATCACTTTCATGAAGGTCCTCAACCACGGCATTGACAGCATCAAGCAGATCGTCACCTAGCACATCTTTAGCGCTGCCTGGTGGTCGCTGGAAGTCGAAAACTCGTACCGAAACAACAGTGTAGTTGAACTTATTTTTGACACCGCATTACCAGTCCCTTTGCCCGTACCACATGTGAAAACCGATTCTGAACAGTATAGTGCTCTTCTCTGAAAACGGACGGTAGGAGAGGGAAACCCCTCAAATTCTTCATTTTTATAAATCATTTCGTCACTTCGACAAATTCTTATGCTTACGTACTCACTTATCTTGCAAACAAGCCCGCTCTTGGGAGAAATTTTGGGAATTCCGTGGAGCGAATAAAGTTTGGAAAATTCTCGTCTCTTCGAGGATGGCAGAATATCATCATGAGGTACCTTATGTGCGCGCAAAACAGGGGTGTTTATAATAAAGCATGGGAGATGAAACTTCAAGCAAACCCTATCAAAACAAAAACAAAAAAAACTCCCAAAAACACTACGAACAAAAACATACCTTTTTGTCGTCTCCATCACTTTCACTTGACAACAGTCTGAAGGATTGGCGGACAATCCGAAATGACGGCACAAACTTTTTTAACATGCCCTCTCTGCAAAACAAAGTGAATTTCTGCAACATAAAAACGCTGTTCACAATGTTCCCACGGAAAATACTCATAAGTCCACGTAAGCGTAACGATTTGGGTACAACAAAAACTGGTAGAACAAAACTGTTTGGTGAAACAAAATCATCTTTGAAAGAAAGAAAAACAGCAAAAATAGAAAAGTATAGCAGGAGGAAGCCCCACAAAAATGGATTTCAAGCCCGATTGGAGCACATTTATTCCAACTTGTTAATCTACAATCATATCAAACTATGATAATATGCAATAACCATATCTCTTTGTATCACACGAATGTTCTTGTACAAATTCTTTTCAACGGTTATCCAGCCGGTTCAGCTTTTACTCTAGACCTTAACCAAGACATGGTGCGGTACAAAATGAAGGAAATTGCTTGCAACTGATATCCGAATGAAATATTTGCCACATTCCCAGATCTCAATGCTCTAAATCATGTTATAAATGCAAAAATTAAGCGTAAGATTGTGGATTAACAGACAAACCAAGGGATTCAACTAGAGTTCGACAATGCACTTTTCCACGCTACAACACCACAAATACAAGGACCAGGGTGAGCCATATGTCGGAAGAATTCCGCAGGTAGTACCATCCTCCTTGTCCTTGCTGAGTCAGAGAGCTTAAAACCCACTTTCATCCGTGCTAAGTCCTACTCGACATAGGATTTCATCAGTCACAGAAGAGAAAGCTCCTTAGGGCGAACTACGGATCGTCTTGATTTGGATGCCAACAATTACCAATTGTGGATATGGTTCACTAGGACAGAAAGCGAATTTTTCGCGAATCACAGCACGAAGCATTTCTCTTGGCGGGAACCTCAACCTCATAACGTCCCTCAAAAAACCTTATGTAAAAAAAGGTTATATAGTAGTACGGATGCGGAAGATAATTCTGTAATTTCGCCGTATTCCCAGAAATTCACAAAGTTGGGCAAGAATTCTCAAAAACCTACTTACTAAAAAAATACGCTGTCACTCAATCCAACTTTCCCCAAAAATCCAACTGCGACCCTTTCTCCGTCAGAACCTCACACTGGCTCATCCTAGCATAGTCTGTCAAGACAAGTGTGGCACTCTCATTATAGCCCAAACAGGTGAAAAAAAATTGGAAGCAAACCAGTAGCAAAAGCATTAGCCAATACTAGTCATGCTTGAATGCCAAATGTTTTTGATTAGACACTTTCACAATTTAAGCCACCTCACCAGTGAGCGCACCATAAAACGGGCAGTGATTTAGTTTGTCTTCAGCATTCGCTTTTGCATTCCTTGATGGAACGATTCGAAATGTGAAGACAGTTTCAAGAGGAAATGAGGTTATGACGAGATAGATTGTGATTGCTAAGCATGAACCTTCATCCAGCAGTGCACTCATAAAAGGCCATATAAAGCAGTTCAAGTCACGATGCCAGGTACTTCAGCACAAGACACAAGTACTTTTGAAACGTAGTAGAGACTACTACTGTTAATAAATTCACAGTGACACAACCACTAATACATAAAATTTATGAATGGGTGACTTATACAACATGCAATACTCTATCTCTATGCAACTACACCAGTTAATTGAAAACACCAGAATATTAAGATTGCGCAAGAACAGCTACCGATCATCATTAATTAGTTTCCTTTGGCGAACGTAACACCTTTCTTGATGTTTTTGTTCAGTTCTTCAACGGAGGCGTCGATGAGTTGTTGCTCGAATTTGCTCACCTGAAAGAGCTATCCATAAATTATCGCTTCAATATACAGAGTGGAAATCTAGGCAAATAGAATGGATGAAAACACACCTGTCCAACACCAAGAATCTTCTCTACTCCATTAGGTCCAAGCTCCAAAGGAGTGGAGAAGTACTCAACACCTTTCACCGCATCTGATGCTACGTAAGCACACATGACATTCTTATCACCCTTAATTGCACGAACGAGAGCATTGGCAAATCGAGCTCCAGCCACAGCCATTGATAACGTTGCAGATCCCTGAATAAAAAGTTATGAACTTATTTTGAAACCCATCATATTGAAATTCGACTCTACGTATTCTCTTTGCTCTTTGCCCGCGAACATACAAACAAACATAACAATGAACAAACATAAAGAGAAAGTTCAGAATATTCTTAATACTGCGCAAACCAAGTCCGGAAGACAGGATAAAAGATCTTTGCGGAAAAATAATCAAGAATGTTTTCAAGGAAACCATACACCGACCCAATACAGAAATGAAAGCGACTTTGAACATATAACACATCACCTTCACGCTTCCTGCATTGTCCTACCAGTAGATCGAAGGGATATTTTGAAAACAATAGAAAGGCATAGGAAAGTGACCCAAGGTGATGAGCTAGTAAGAAAAACCCATATATAGGAAAAGTTTAAAAAGTGCATATTTTGAATGAATACCAAACCCAATGAAATGAATAGACCTCCGCAGAGCCTCAAATGAACATTTCTAGCACAACTGATGTTAATGAAAAGGGAAAAGGGAAAGAAAAGACGCATACCGCTCCAGCCTTGGCTTTAACGACCTCAGTTCCGGCATCTTGAATCTTTGGCGTCAATTTCATGATTTCATCATCAGTGAAGCTCACTTTCGGTGTCACCTGTAATTACATGTCGATATTCGAAACGCATAACAGTAACACGTACAACGACAAGAAATATAATAGAATGCTAACCTGAGAAAGCAAGGGAATAATAGTCGTTCCAGCATGGCCTCCCACTACAGGAACAACAGTCTTCGAGGCATCGAGTCCCTGAGCTTATCAAAATTTAAATATCAAAAAGAATGGAACAGTGGCCGCACAAAGAATCGATAGCGGAAAGAAAATGCAGCGCACACTCGCATCTGCGTGATGGCGTTAAAAAATCGATCGCAAGTCGGTGATATATGAGCAGTGATTGAAATGACACGTACTGTTTTTTGAGTGCTAATCCAAAAAACAGCCCGCACGTCATAACATGACGCAGACTTGGCGTCATTGTTTTATTTTTTGTACAAAAGATATATTAGAACAAACGTAATCCAATGAAAGGATCAAAACCCTCGAGAGAATTTTTTGGAAGCGGACTTATACCTGAGAGCAAAATACGCAATCATACAGTTTTCTCAAACCAGTTTTAGTGAGTCAATAAGAGGTTTATACCATTTATAGGTTGCTATACGGTTACAGGGGCAGCAGAAATGAGAGGTAATAGTTGCTCAATAAAGTGAAAATAACGTGTACCTTAAGCTCGGCGACAAAGGCCTGTGCACGGACCACGTCCAAGGTAGTGACTCCGAAAATGCGGCGCTTATCGTATACGCCATGCTGCTTCATAACTTCAGATGCAATTGGTACTGTTGAGTTGACTGGGTTGGTGATGACCGCAATCATAGCCTGAACAACGTATAGATACTGAATCAAATACCAAATGCGATTCAACTTTCCCAGTCCAGGCATCATTTTAGGGAACCAGTGAAGCGAAAATATAGCAAGAAGGAATGCGTACGTATCAGCGATGTGAGCGGTCCCAAATTTTGCTTCAGAAGACTCAAAACCTTCCCAAAAATATTGCAAGACTGATTAGAGCTCATGATGGTTCTGATAGTCAAGAATAAAGTTAAGAATTACGGGTCTCATCCAGTAAGGGGATTACAGTGTGACAGGTCATTTTACCTAAAGAAATTTAATGTATGCACAGGAAAGGAAACTTCGAGAGGGGTGTAGTAACGGAAGCGAAACAGTTCACACCATTATTTCTCCCCTGTGAAATTGGGAATTCCGTGGGTGGCGGGCAACTTCGCACCACACGTCCTCTTACTGAATGACACCCTTAGTCTCTATATACGTCGAGCTAGAAAAATATAGATCAAACTAATTTAGCTAGCTTGAGAAAATGGCTAAAGACCTAGAGCAAGGCTCAAGGGCTCGACCACTTTTTGCAGACCTTATTTTGTTTGGTTTTCCTTTGTTTGTTTTGGATTACCCCAAGTGTTTTGCCCTTCACTCAGCTCTTTTATGAACCTTCACATTTTATTAACCTCTTTATGACAACGTCCGCAAATAAATTGAGAATTTTGGAAGTCTTCTTTCAAGACAAACTTCTGGAAGTCTCACATTGCCACACCACGCATCGCGAACGCATGATAAGGTGTAACACTTGATATGATAATATCGAAAAAAATAAAATAATGACATCGTGTAGGCGATAGATTAGCTAATATTCGTTACTTTCGAACCAACTGACCTTGGGAGCTTCAACAGCGATAACTTTGACGAGGTCGCGAATAATACCGGCGTTTGTGTTGAACAGATCATCACGGGTCATTCCAGGCTTACGGGGTACTCCTGCCGGAATAACAACGACATCGGCACCAGAAACTGCAGCGGCAAGCTCACCCGGGCCAGTGTGAGCGGTTACCTGTATTGCGTAATAAAAAGTAACGACTCAGCTTTGACAAAGGAGTCAAATACTGGTAATGTCAGAAAAGAAAACAAAGAACAGATGTAATGAAAAACAGGGCAAGAGAAACAAAAGCAAACCTTTGCATTAGTGTCGATGTGGGAAAGATCAGCCGCTACTCCAGGTGTTCCCACAATATCGTAGAGTGCAAGATGCTTTGATAAGGTTATCCTGTTTCAGGAGCAAACCAAGTGGTTGACCAATACCACCCGAGGCGCCAAGTAGAGCAACCTGAATTAGCACTTTGGGAACGGGAACTAAAACAAAGAAAAACGAAGAAAATTTGTTAAACTAGCTTGGAAAAGCTCTTGCACGAACACTTTTTCTCATCCAGTATTCATGAGCTGATGTAATTGGCAGGGGAGCATTTCCACACGTGTTGCACAGGGCATCCAAAATCGCAACAAGAAGCATTTCATTTTATCATAAACGTGAGAAACTAAATTGATCAAACCACTGAACCAAGTTTAGTTAATTATTTGACATTAATGGACCGATTAATTAACCTTGAGACTCTTTAATTTGCAGCTTTCGGTGGCTTTTTCTCATTTTTTGATACAAGACCCTGAGCCCCGCATACAGTTCTAGAAACTCCGTTTCACCAGAAAGTCATCGGGTCGAGCTAAATTTTCTGCTTTTCATGACAATATGTTGATCATGTCACGTTGACGTAAAAAGTTTTCGAAGGCATGTTGTCGAGAAAAGCAAAAGAGCTGCGGTTTCATAGTTCAGGATATCGTTCAGCAGACAAGAAAATCAGTACAGGGTCACCCGTGGCGTTCGACTGATTCCTGAGAGTGTGACGACTAGCCAATCCCCTCAGCTACCCTTTGACCTTCGTCCAATACCAAGCACGATCCTCTTCCAAGAATCGCAAAATATGACCCCTCCCCTCTTCAGACAGAGAGACGGTTGACCCTGTGAGATCATATTTGTGCTCAGGGTATCAAGGCGTGTATAAAAATGAACAATTTAATTCTGGCCGGTTTACCTAACGACCTTTCTTGGTTAGAGAGATGAAATCCCGTCGTACTTTCTGGGGAACACATTGACATATAAAAATTGTGAAGTTTGTTACATAAGCATTTAAACGGTAAAATACTTTTTCATTTGTAGCAACACAGTTTCCCAAATGCAGGTGTGTTAGTGCTGATAAACTTTCGAAGAATGAAACCATATAAAGGTCCCGCCTAATGAAAATAATATAAATTTTTGAGATTTGAGAGCTTTCTACTTGTTGTGTACGATGCTGCTTGATTTGTTCCTATTCTTTTCTGCAGCTTGTGTTGGTAACCTTACAGTCGACCTTATTGGTAACCTTTGAGCTGTTTGTTTGTATCTGGGTCTGCTTGTAAAGTATTAAGCACACCTTTGTGCGAATGAAAATAAATGCGAAATAAACGAAAATTTGAGGGCAAAGCTTCCTCTCGGACTACCTACTCACGTCACTGTGATGTTTGCTGAACTCTGAGGCAAAAAAAGCTCCAGTGCACCGCAAAAGAACCCCGCATTTACGTAACGAAGAATATCTGTCAATTGGAGGGCCATTAATATTGATCACTACAAATAAAAACGGTGAATAGCTTCCCATCTGTTTAAAGAGATAGGCAAGCATGTAACGGTTTTGAAAATACCCACGGCTTTAAAAATACCTTTAACTCCATGAGATTAGTCTGATTCTGTCCAAACTTTGATCGGCATGAGTTCAAAACACACCACCATAGATACATCGTCAAAAACTAACCCACGCTGCTGGAATTACTAAAATTTTTATCAATCAACGAATTTTTTGATGTAAATATAAAATTTGCTGCCTAAAATCTCGAAATACACTCACAGATCATAACACAAAATTCTGAATTTGGAACACTAATTATCCGAAAACAGTTTGCCGTTACGCATAGTGCGGACGACAGCAACGACCGCAAGTGTCGCACAGCATTGGGTGCGTATCGATCTGCGACACCTGCGGTCGTTGCTGTCGTCCGACCGCTGCTGTCGCAGATCGATACGCACCCGATGCTGTGCGACACTTGCAGTCGTTGCTGTCGTCCGACCGACTATGCGTCCGGCCTTGGATCCACAAATTGCGAACTATGAACGCAGTGCTGCGCCTCCAAGAACCTAATTTTGCATACCGAAAAAAATCAAGGGATTTGCTCTGCTTCAAAATCACCTCACTCCTAGCTTTCTTCCTGAGAAAACTGGACTTCAGCCTTTGTCTTCCCTCCGCAACTGGAAAGCCGGATCCATATTTCCCTACAACGGTGGGGACAATAATCCCCTTGAATTTTACTTCTTTTTATAGTCTCTTCCCCTTTCAATGTAAGTTTCCTTTGACCTGCCTTTTGAGTTAAATGTAGCCCTTTATCATGAAATCAGTCTGGGAAGAGAGAGTAAAATTAATAAGATTCGCCCCACAACCCCTTGCTGAGGAAGTCGGCAAGCCAGACGGCCCCGGATGAAACCCAATAATTGCATCTAAATAAGTAAAGCAGCTGATAGAGTACTTAGCAAACATTTGAAGTGCAAGGGCATCATAGGACGAGTCATAGGACAGTCAAACAAAAACTCGAACTCGACCAAGGTCGCGTACCGATTGAACGCAAGGTCACTTAAAGTAACTTTAACAATACCGAAATGTCAAAAAACGCTACTACATGATCAATTTAATTTTTTGATCCTAATTGTTTTTCCTACAGATAATCAATACTCAAGGGATAATCCACAACTGAAAATATTTGTACGGTCTTCACGTTATCTGCTTCTGGTGAACGGTGATAAGAGCCCTTGTGGTTGGTAACCCGGACAAGACATCGATAAATTCACAAAAAAACGGACATAACGGGCGCTCCCCGCCCCAAAAAAACAGAAGATCAACTTTGAGACTTTCCCAGCCTGTCCTAAATCAAATTTCTTGACTATAAATGCCACCTTGCGCGAAACTGAATGCGAACAGATCGAGTCCCATGAGATGAAACTACGAATCGTGTAGAAAGCATCATGAACTGAAAGCAATAAATTCAATAAATCAGAGAATCAATCGATGAACGAATTAGTACAGAGGTACTACTGGAAGAACTACAAGAAATGTACGACCATTTTGACGAACGAGCAGAAGCAACGGGCGCTAAAGGTCTGCGGCGCGCATGTGCGGTCTTCACGTCGGGACCGGCGCCATTCGAGCCGATCATCCTCCCCCTCCGCTTGAGATTCATTCTCATTCATCACCCCATGCCATGGGCCAGTCGAATCATTCTTGAAGACCTCAAAGAACGAAATGGGAAGCGATAGAAAGAACGGCGTCAATCGACCTCTTCTTGTGTGCGCCATGCACTCTACCTCCAATCAGAATTGTTGCCACGTTTGGAAGGGAATTGGGGTCTCATCCAGTAAGGGGGCATGTGGTGTGACAGTTCTTGCGGCTACAGAAATTCCAATTTTTGCAAGGGGAGGGGGAATCCCCGGGGTGCGTGAACCATTTCGCTTAAACTTTTACACCACCCCGGAGCTTCCCTCCCCTGAAAAAAGTGGATTACTTCATGCAATATGAACTGTCGCACCACATGCCCCCCTTACTGGATGAGACCCGGGACGTTGCCTAAACGATAACCTGCGTGCTTTCCGATGTACAAGTGTAGTTGTACTCTCGGGTCTATTCCAGTTAGGGGGGGGGGGGGCATCATGATGCAGTTTCTCGGCGAACTAGTGTGAACTCGAACATTCCAGCTTTTCACGCATGTCAAGTGACTGCCCTCACCCCCACCCCCTAGACTGGCTACACTCCCCCTGGCTCGGAGTTACCCTAGCTTTCTGGAAAAACTGCATCATGATGCCCCCCCCCCCCCCTAACTGGAATAGATTTGTACTCTCACACAAATCTGTCTAGTCTTACAGACAATTACTGGATCGAATGTTAACCTGAGCAGTAATCTGGAATTTGATGCTCGAATCAGTAGTCTCTAAACTTCCTTAGAAAAGGAAAGGGTATAAGGTGAAACTTCTCCTGTAACAGGACCAGCTGACTTTGGGTTCGCACAGGTAAGCTTCACTAGAAGAACGAGTTTAGAGCTCTATTACGACCTTAAGGTGAAAGTTTAAGCTAGTGTACTTGCATCATCTTCACGACCTACCCCCTCCCTTTAATTCCCCACCACGGCCATCAAAAAAAGGCCATAGCGGGGGAGAGGAAGGGGGCATCGTGAAGATATCGCGAGAAGCGCAACCCTTTGACTCGTCAAGTTCACGCTTCTTTCATAACGTTTTGGCCAGAATAGTCAGATGACCCGCTGAAAAACGATCCTCTCTCCCGCAGCCACGACCCCTTCAACTTCCATAAATACGACCCCGTCCAGAAAGTCAAATATGGTCTCCGTTGAATTGTGTAACAGACATTCGGCATCGGTTGAAGCAGTGAATGAAGGAATAGAAATCGGAAATTTGCTAAATTTATCGACCTGGTGGGGATGGCTCAGTTGGTACGGCCACC